CGCCCGAAACTCGCCAGACGGCACACCCCCCAGGAAGCCGCTGACCACCAAGGCTGCTGCCAAGACGGCGCCCCCCAGCGGCGGCGTGAAGAAGCCGCACCGCTACCGACCTGGCACCGTGGCGCTCCGCGAGATCCGGCGCTTCCAGAAGTCCACGGAGCTGCTGCTGCCCAAGCTCCCCTTCCAGCGGCTGGTGCGCGAAATCGCGCAGATGGTCAGCGCAGACCTGCGCTTCCAGAGCGCGGCCATCGGCGCCCTGCAGGAGGCCAGCGAGGCCTATCTGGTGGGCTTGTTTGAGGACACCAACCTGTGCGCCATCCATGCCAGGCGTGTCACCATTCTGCCCAAGGATCTGCAAGTGGCTCGCCGCCTTCGAGGGGACCGTGTCTGAGAGTTGGCGCCGGCACGCGGCTCACTGTGAAAAGGAATTGTTTTCCTTTCCTTGTTAGTAGTTTGTAAGTTATTTTTTCTTGTGAAATCTCGGGAATCAGGTCCTAGCAGTTCCCATTTCATTTTGTATGAATTATTCACGTGAATGTGGGGACTTAGAGCGTTCGCCCAAGTCCAGGCATCCAGTAACGGAGTTTCTGCAGTTCAGCTTTATGATTGTAAATGAACTGATTCGATTCTTCTAGACAATGCCATGTTGATGCTTCTCTAAAACAAATTCATGGGTGGCAATTAAACAGTGTAGATTCCACTCATCACTGGAGTTTTCTGCCTTGTCCAACATGGGCAGACATGTACGTAGTGTTCTGTCTTCTCTGCTTTCCTGCAAGTTTGCTAATAAAATTCATTAGAGTACATATTATGTCTTTGCGAGTTACTAGATTCTTTACATTGTGGGAGGCAGAAAAACTACGGAGGGAGGGAGATTGGTGGGAGGTCACACAGTACCAGGAAGCAGCAGGGAGTGTCAGCTAAACCTATCACGTCGTCCTGCAGCAGGGCCGGCCCCTAAGGCAGGGATTCGGTGCTCTGCGAAGGAAAGAAGATCCCACATTGACATCCAGGTTCCCAACCCTGGTGACTCACCCTGGGTGTCTGCCCATGATCCCCAAAGGGATAGAAAATTGGAGAGAGAGGATTATGACATGACAATATTTTGGGGGGGAGGCACACACACTCTCTCTGGCATTAAAAAAAAAAAAAAATTAATATGGTCAATGGAACCAGGCCTGCACATCATCCACAGAGGTGACCAGAGACCTTTTACATATTAGAAAGTAACAGTGCAGGAACAAGAGTAGGGACGGAAACGCACAGTAAAAAGTCTTTTTTTCTCATATCCATTGGTTACAATTTCTGTTCCGTTTTTTAAATGCAGGTTGAGGGACCCACAGATGGTGCAATGGTCACATCACGACTCCCATGGAGTTGACCATGGTTTGAGGACCAGACCCAGGAGCATGTATATACATGCTCAAAGCCCCAAGAGAATGGAAGAGAAGGGATTGCGTAGTAGCCATGCCATCCCCCCAGTGGGTGATTGCTCACTTTCTGTCTGTCTCTAGACATGCATCCTAGACATGCATAAAAAACACTATTTTTATAAAAAAAAAATGCAGGTGGAAAGAGTCTCTTCATTTTTAAGTATATGTATTTTTATTTTTAATTTTTATTTAATCACTGTACATCTTATCTTTACAGTGGGTAGAGAGAGTCTCTGGATAGTCGCTTTTCCTACACTCTGAATTATTACTATCTATAGGCAGCAAAATTTCAGCCTTCTTGGTTTCATTCATTCTTCGGGGGATCCACTGAGAAAATCAAAACTTAGGGATAGTAACATGGGAAAGGAAATTGTTGAGATGTGAAGCTAATGCTCACTGGGTCCTGCAAAGTTGTTGCCTGCTCTACCTTTACTGTAGAAAGTGAAATTCTTTATCATAAAATAGAGACCTGAGATTTAGTCTCTAATTGAAGCAGGCACAACTCCATCTTGGAGGAGCGCTTCCATTATAAACTGTTAGGTTCCTATAACTAGAAACTTGCCTTCTCCTTTTTGCCTAAGAATGATTAACATTCCTATTGTCCTTAAAACCCCACTCTTCCTGGATGCCTTAAGTTACAATCTCTAGTCCCAGAACTTTGTCCAGAGCCATGGAGACATGGAGACCAGTGAGACGCCATCGTGTTTAGGCAGGGATGGAATATACCCTTAAGAATGATTAACCTGCTTATCTGCTTGTTCTGCCTCTGTGTTGCTTTTGCTTGCTTTTACATTGTAAAACCCTACCTCCTACCCTTCCAAGCCCACAGCTCTTTGTCCTTGTGATTTTTGCTTTTATCAGCACCCCTCACATTGCACTCAGGGCTGTGGGGTTTTGAGAGACATGAGTCCTCCTGTGTGCTGCCGACTTAATAAACTCCAATAAATTTGGTGATGTCTGGATGTCCTCTTATTTCTCACCCATTAGACTGTAACGTAGTCACTGCACTTGCAGCCTTTCTCACAGGTATCCTTGGTGCTGGTTCAGTCTGTTTCCCTTTGCCATATGCCCTCCGATCAGGGTACAGGCAAAAAAGAGTTAAAAGCTCAGCTCTGTTGAATGGATAACAACACTCACTATTTTGTTTCCTCAAGTCAAATATACCCCCGCCCCATAGAACTGTTATTTCTTCTCGCTCTTGACTTTTGCCCTTCACATAGGACTTACCACACATGGCCTCTATAATTGCTTGGTTAATACTTTAAATTTCTAACTCTCCTGAGAATGAACAAAGCCTATTTTGCACCAGCATATTCTTTGCCCACTCTGCCTCCCCCAAGGGTGTGTGCATGTGTATGAGAGGGAAAGCGAGAGATGGAGAGAGTGAAAAGGCACCCTGAATTGGGGCCTGGTCTCACCTTTTTTCCTCCAGTGCTCCATTGAGCTAAGATCCTGTCCAGTGTGTGTGTGCGCACGCCCCTAGTTCATTTTTAAGTTGCTGAGACTGGAACCCTGGTCAGTCATATGGGATCTGGCTTCCTTTGTCAGCCAAGAGGCCGATCGTAACACCGTTATATCCTGACATGGTTTAATTCTCATTTTGTCATCGTCATACATGAAGGTATACAGCAAGACCTGTAGTGCAAACACAGAGAAAGATGGAGAGGCAGATCCTGGAAGGGCTGATGGAAACTGGAGGACTCTCAGGAATTAAAGCAATTGAGCAACCAAAGAAGTGAGATATGAGAGACTCAGGGTCTCCTAGGCTTAATATTGCTGTCAGTTCATTTCTTCCCAGTGTGCACTGGAGAGTCTTGGAAAATGCAAGAGGCATATGGCTCTGGGAAGGCAGGAACTAGCATCTGCAGAGTGAAGTGGTATGTTATACACCATTAGGAAGGGTTTCTGTCGCTTCCAACACTGTGCTCACAGGAGAGTCTGAGCAAAACTGAACCATTGAAGACAGAGGCAAGATCCCATCAAGGTCTCAAGAGTGAGCTCAGAGCAGGGACATGGCATTATTCTCAGAGGGGAGAGAAAGAGAGACAAGCTGAGAAAGTTCAGTATCTCTACACGTTCCTGTAGGCATGGTTCTCAAAAAGGGAATCTAAGAAATCTGGCACCTCTCCTGAAGAAATCTTGGTAGCGCTCTTGGATGGTTATATTATATGCTAGTAACAATTCAGTTCACCCAGGAATGTCATTCCCATTCAATATATGTTCAGAAACTTTCTAGAAAAATTTCTGTTGGTGCTGTTCTGGTGAGGCAATGCCTAACAAATAAAGAGACTGCACCTGACTGCAATTTTCAGTCATTTAGCATTACCCTGAGATCAAATTCACATTCTATCCTATCCCCCAAAAGTACTTAGCATGTACTTACACATGTCCAAATAAAACTTAAGTCATTCAGCTCCACTGTCCCCACGGACATATTGTCTAGGGTCTGGCTTTCAAAAGCACAAGGCTGAGTAGCAACTATCAAAAACTTACACACGAATTAGACCATCTTCAACGCTAAGTTGATGGGTTTGTGTTTTCTGTGGGGGAGGTACAAAGCAGGGTGCTACGTTACACTATCGCATTTAGTGGGGGAGGGGGAGAAGCTCTCAGAAAATAAACTGAGTCCCCATCTCATGTAACGGTTTCCTAAGTAAGCTGAGTGCTGAGAGAAGCCTCATGCAATCTCATGTTAGTATCCATTGGTAAGTACTGACAAAAAGAAATGCCATCAGTATACTAAGCACCACCGAAAAACTTGAGGTGTTAGAAGAAAAACTGCAATAAAATAGCTAGCTTGCCATCCGTTCATTTAGAGCCATCGCTCCACCCTGGAGGAGAAGCATTAAGTTCTCTTGCCTGTTCCAAAATTCCTACCTCATTCTCTTCCTGCAGGTGTTTCTGTAGCTCGCACCTTCTCTTCTTGTTCCTTTTATTGCCTTCCACTTTCATAGAAGTGAGAGCCTGACCTTGCCTTTCAGAAGCTGACCTATATATTATAGTCTGGAGAACAGCAAAGATAGAGAGCATGAGCACTGGGACTTGAGACTTTATTATAATTAATATGTGCCAAACATATTTCCTATGGGTGAAGTCCACAGGCTTGTAAAAGACACAAAACAAACACATATTTCAAAAAAATAATAAACGCTGAAATTGAATCTCGACTACCAACGTAAGAAATAATTTGCATAGACTCCAGTTTCAAACCACCAAGGGTTTTAGCTACGGCTCTTTATTATCTATGACTTCAGTAACAATGTAACATGGTCAGATAAGCAACGAAGGGATAATTAATAATACAAGAGTGAGCTTAATTACTGCAATGAAGGAAAGAGAATCTAAATTTCTTTTCCTAACTTGGAAATTTCTCTGTAACTAGATTCACTGCAACACTTCACTTTTTTCAATGCTACACCTTCTCAAATTCACTAAACCCATTGGGCCTTCATTTATAGTGGCAAATCCAGTCTGGAAATCCTCCCTTCTCCTTCCCTGATGATAGCTAATTTATCCATTGATTCCTTTCCAAACACCCAACCTTTATAGAAGAGTCTCTCTCTCTCTCTCTCTCTCTCTCTCTCTCTCTCTCTCTCTCTCTCTCTCCTCTCTCTTTAAGAGAGATTTGCTATAGGACACATGCACTTGTCAGAGAGACAGAAAGATACAAAGTGAGAAATCACCCCCTCAAGGCTGGCCACACCACAATCACTTCTCATTCCCCTCTCAGGATTATGGGCACACATGTACATGCGCCTGGCGTGAATTCCAAGCCAGCATGTGTAGGACTCAATCCGGGTTGGCTATGTGGGAGTCCAGCACCCACTATGCCACCTGCTGACTCCTGTAGAAGACTCTCTTTAACTCCTGTGTCGTTCTTGTTCTGTATTGAACTCCTATGTCTATATTCTGCTTGTTCTCTCAAATATTAAACTTATTTTTCAAAATATACTGAACTTCTTATCTCGTGCAGTGTCCAGCACAGAAGTAAGCAGTCAATCAGAAACTGGATGGTCAATAAATAGGCTTTTTTTTTTGGCCACTAAATTTGAGCTGCCAAAGTGACAATGCACTAAGTCTTATGATGTGCTACTTCCCAAAAATCTATAAAGATAAAACTGAAGGAAAGATAGCACATATACCAAGAAAAACAACTTTTATCAAGATACCCCTCCCCGCATTCTACCATGGAATATTACTCAACCATAAGGAAAAAATGAGATCCTATCATTTCACTCAAAGTTAACCAATGTAGAGGAACTTAATGGTAAAAGAAGTGAGCCAGACTTTGAAAGACACACACTATATATCCCTGCTCAGTATGTACTGAATGTTTGCACTTTGTAGTAGAAATTGAAAGATCCGAAGATACGGTAAGAGAGAGGATAAGAGTAGACACCAGAGACTCTAAGGAATGGGAATGGGTGGCAGAGGGTTAGAGGGTAGTTGGAGAGACAAAGGGAAGAAACATTTAACAGACAAAAGAATATAAAGTTCTCCATTGAAAAAACAATGTTCATAAATTTTGCTTTATAAAAAATTAAAGAATCACCAAAAAATTTTAAATTTCAAAATTAAAAAAAAAAGAATGAAAGTAAAAGAAAGGTCCACCTCTTAGTCGCTCTGTTACTATAATCCAGTTCTCTGGGCTGTAAACATTTTCTGGGATGCCAAGCCATGGGATGACTTACAATGTTGGTTTTAGGAAAAACTCTCGACCACGCAAAATAAATTTTTGGGGTGACTTCAGGTTTTTTCATATGATAAACATAGTTCTATTAAAGAGGTGATATGGCATTAGAAACAAGTTATTTGGCTTGTATTGAGATCTTCTGTATTCAAAGCCATTGTAAAATGAGGAAATAGGAGTGATCGAAAAGTCTGTTCAGTGGCATTGCCCCTCTGGAAGATATCTTTGATATCATTGTTAATGATAACATGAAACCATGTTGCTAATGTAATTTACTTACATAAAATGCATACACTAAAAATATGTTTAAGCAGAAATATGAACATATACAGTTTATATCTGCACATAGGTATTGAAGTTGGCCTTGAATTCTCATGAGAATTAGCAGTGGGCTCTGCAGAAACTAGGAAATTGTACACAACTCCATTAAAGCGTGTAATTATCAGTACACTGTTTATAGCTAGGGAGGTGTTGGATGCCAAAGCTAACAATTCATTTTAACTGATCACCTATTCAGACACCACAAGCGTGATATATAAAATGGCAGAGGCAGGAGGCTAGATGTGCTGCAGCAGATAAATCCAATGTTCTGCAAGGCTCACATGGGAAGGTTGCTAGTTTATGTCTGGAGACCTCCCTGAGTGCCGGTGATACAGGCTGGCTGGTACAAAGGCTGAATGTTAGGATCAAGACTCTGTTGGTATTTCCCTCTCGAGAATGAACTGTAGGATCAAGACTCTGTTGGTATTTCCCTCTCTGTCTCTTTAACTCACGGAAAAAATAAATAAAACTTATTAAAAATGAAGGACTAGCAGATGATATAATGATTATGTCACTGGACTCCCATGTAGTTGATCACGGTTTGAGTCCTGGACCAGTGGCTTAAACTCATGCCGGGCATGTGTGTGTGCATGCCCAAGATCCCAAGAGGAGAATGGAGAAGGAATTGTGGCGTGGCCATCCTCCCCTGGGGGGGATGATTTCTCACTTTCTGTCTCTCTCTGTCTTTCTGGAGAGCGCACACACCCTATAGCAAAAACTTCTCTAAAAAGAAAAAAAAGAAAAGAAAAAAGCACTTTTTAAAAATGGCAGATGTAAAGCACACAATGAAGAAATAATTGTTCAGGAAATTGTGACAAAAATTGCAGCAAAGTTGTATCTCACAGTTTATCAACATCTTCAGATAGATCTCAGCTCCTAGGGCCTGTGCTCCCTTAACCACTGAGCTACAGGGCTGGACCAAGATCATTCAATATTTTTTTAAGAGAAAATCTTTCAATTTTAAAGATAACATTAGTGTGTAAAAAGTCACAGGGAATTTATTGTAATTTTAGTATTTTACATACTGTACAGTAGTCTTCTTATATCTAGGGGACATCCTTTTCAAGACTCCCAGTGGATGAGTAAACCAAGGATAATACCCTGAATAAACTATGGTTTTCCTATACATGCCAAAGATAAAGTTTAATTCATAAATTAGGCACAGTAAGAGATGAACAACAATAACTCATGGTCACGGGGAAAGTCATGATGCATTTTTGCACAGAAAACATGACAAAAGGTCATGACTTTTCTGTAGACCCAATAAAGTAGGCACAGTAGGAGAGGAACAATAGTAACTAATACTGTACTAGAACATTTATAACAATATACTGTAATGAAAGTTATGTGATGTGGTTTCTCTCACAATAGCTGAGGTGGCTCCCGAACAACTGAAGGCTGGTGGTGTGAAACATGTGACTGTTACAGAGCTCAGGTAACATTGATAGTTCATCATCACCTCCTACGTCCTGGGCAGGATGGTGCGAGATCCCAACGCTCAACTCAGAACAGCACAAAACTCAGAACAGCGCACTCTACAACATTAATTGTGTCTGGAATCTTGTATTTCGTATCTTTGTGGTTGAAATTGGGAAAGTGAAACCACAGATAAGAAGGCACTATAATAATACAGAAAATCAAAGTTAAAATATTAAATTATGTTATAAAATATGTATGACATATGTTTATTTGGCAAAAATAAGGAATCCATAAATTTCATACTGAAGAATGTTTTCAATTAGAACAAAATCCTCTGGAATGAAGCACAAGGAAATTAGTTCAGAGAAGAGACGTTGTTTTACTGGGGTGCATATTTCTCACTCTCATCTTACTTTAGGCCCCAGATTAGGTTGATCACTCACCAACATAAGAAACTAATCATGAGAAAATGAAAACAGTTCTCTTACGAGTAAAAAAAAATGGTTTGTGGTTTCATTTTCACTTGTGCAAGTTGGAAAACAATTGTGTAAAGCCCCTCAAGAAAATCCACAACAGGGGCCAGCAGATGGCATAATGGTTACATTGCTGGACTCCCACATTGTTGACGGCGGTTTGAGTCCCTGACCCAGCAACTTAAAACTCACGCCAGGACGTGTGCCTGCATGCCCAAATTCCTGAAAGGAAGGGACTGTGGTGTGGCCATCCCCCCTGGGGATTTCTCACTTTTCCTCTCACTGTGTCTGTCTCTCACTCTCCAGTGAGTGTATGTACCCTAAGGCAAAAAAAAAAAAAAAACTCTTTAAAAAAAAGGCAGGAAGAAAAAGAAATTCCACAGCACACGTGTCCAAAAACCTTTCCAAAGCAACTGAGAACCGCAGAACCTTCAGGCTAGAGGGCCGCAGGGGAAAAATTCTGCCTGTTTCATTTACCTAAAATCAGACAAGAAAACCTTAAATCCTGGCCACCTGAGACTTCAGAATGAACCTGTCAGTCTTTCAGGAGGGCTATCCGCCCTGAAGCAGCTGCTACCTTCATCTGAGTGTGGTCAAGGTCCAAGTTTGAAGAAGACTTTAAAATGGGTGCGCAGTGTATTTATCCTGGGTAATTCATTTTACAAGTTGTATAATGATTGAATGTATAAAATAAATTCAAATAATAAAAAGAAAAAAACTGTGGGTTGACAAATAGATACAATCTTATATGTCAATTTTGAAAAATTAATATGGAAACGCACACACACAAAAAAAATTGTGGGTAAAATCCAGGGGGACTGAGATACAAGAGCCCCAGCACATTACATTCTCCTATTATAGGAACGGTATTCCTTTTTTTTTTTTTTGCTTACATTTTTCATTAAAGTTATACAAAAGAACCCCCCAAAAGTGAAAAAAAAAATACGTAATATACAAGAACATGTTCCCACTCTTCCCATGCAGTGCTCTCAACTGTAGCTCCAGCCTCCACTGTTCCCAATGTGCTTAGAAGAACATGACCTTTTTGTACTTGGTGTTGAGGATGAGGCCTTTGGACCTGAGGCGCCGGGCAGCCTCGCGCAAATGCTTGGGCTGGAGCGGGGGCATTTCTCCTAACCTCCTGCACACGTCCAGGGCCTCTTCCACTACCTCCCCCACAAAGACCTTGGCCATACCCGCCATGGCGATGGCCACCTTCTGAGATACCAGCCTGCCAGAGATGGACTGCAGCAGAGTCGTAATGAGTGCCTGGGGGAAAGCTGACCGTCGACACAGCTCATATCGGGCCATCTGCTCCTCAGAGAATGAAGCCAGCAGGACTGTCATCTTCTGAACCTCCTCTTCGTCCACAGCTGGCCTCCTCTCTGTTCCCTTAGTATCTGTTTTTCTTTTTTTGGTTGCAGGAGGAAGTAGGTAGGAGTCCTCTTTATCTTCTGCTAAAATGTCCTGACTCCTCAGCTCATCTTCCTGGTCCTCGGGTCTTTCCAAGTCCCAATCCTGGTCTTCCGAGATTCCGTGAACGTTGGTAGCTCTGGGGCCCCAGAGTGTGTCGGGCATTGCACTGGACGCACCTGCCTGCCCATCCGTGTCCATGGGTAACACCTGGTCAGTCGCTGGGCGGTAGGAGCTGAAGGCCTGGCTGGGGAGGTTGGATTGTCTGTCTACCAAGCAAATGTGAGGAAAGACTGCTGTCACACTACTGAGCCATGTTTTATGGGCTGATGGATCCCTTCTATCTCCTCCACACTCCTACTCTGGTTTTTCTGCCTCTCGCAAATGTGAAAAACTGTAGATAAAAAGGATATCATTTTAGATCAAGTGTTAAATTCCCACCCACTCCAAAGCAAACCCTAGACTTACCAGCTCTCAGCTCTGGAGGTCAGCTCCACTGCTCCACTGCTCAGGGTCTCTCTGCAAGGTCTGCCAAGCTGGGTGGGGTTCGCCTGGACCGAGGAAGATTTGCTCATGAACTGGTGCAGATTGCTGGCCAAACTGGCGATGCTCTCAGCTCCCAGATGCTGTGGTAGGGTCCTGGGGTTCCAGGGGTCTATACAGCACCAGTGACTCTCCTTTGCAGGTGGTGTCACCGGGGATAGCAGTGGCCTCAAGGAGATTCGGTTCCTTTTACAAAATGCTCAGATGATTGCATTAGACTCAGTGGTTGAAAGCCATTGGCTTCGCCAGTCATGTGATTCTTAATCAACTCCAGCAGGTAGGACCAGAGCCCCGCCCACACACCAGGCCAGGGCAGGTACAGGGTGTGCCCCCCAGAGCAGGAAATCTGTGGGCAGCTCCAAATTCTGCCTGCCTCAGATTCTGAAAGTTTGCTTTGCATCATAATGGAAACACGTACGATAAAAATAATATCTGTTTATAAAATTTCACTTATTTGACTTAATCAGAAATTCCAACCAATGAAGCTACAGTGATTCATCACGTATCCTGAGGGTGAGCTGACCTGAGGAGGGAAGTATGGAAATACAGTATTTATTTTAATTTTTATATTATTTTCCATAATATCTGTTGCAGAGAAGCACCAAAATAAATCCAGTAAAACTACTTTGACCATAAAAATATTTATCACCTTAGGATAAAATTACATCTGGGGAAAGGTATAAAAATTAGAATACTAGGTAAAGTAGACACCATAATAGAGATACCTTTTTTTAAGTTTTTAAAAATATTTTTAGATATTTTGTAGAAGATAAGAAATGACTATGTTGGGACCAGAAGGCTGGCATGGTGGCTAGGATACAGAACTCCCACATGGCTAATCCTGCTTCGAGTCCATGACCTAGTGGCTTGCTTTCTCACTTTCTCTCCCTCTTCCTCTTTCTCTCTCTCTCTCTCTCTTTCTGTCTCTATCTGGTGAGCACATGTACCCTATAGCAAATTGAAAAATAATAATATTTAATAAATAAAATTAAATTAATGATTCTTTAATTTTTTATTTAACTTTATTTATTTATTTTAATTTGACCAGAAAGGGGCAGATCAAGAGAGAGACAGACAGAGAGAGAGAGAAAGTGAGAAAGCAAGCCACCAGCTATGGGACTTGAACCACAGTTGGCCATGTGGGATTCCAGTGCCTTTAAACACCATGCCACCTGCTGGTTCCTAAAACTTGTTTTTTGGAGAGGTTTTTTTGTTTGTTTGTTTTTGTTTTTTTGTTTTTTTGTTTGTTTGTTTTTGCTATAGGGCACGTGCGCTCACCAGAAAGACAGAGACAGAGAGACAGAAAGCGAGAAATCACCCTCCAGGGGGTATGGCCATACTGCAATCCCTTCTCCTCCATTCTTCTTTCAGGATCTTGGGCATACACGCACATGTGCCCGACGTGAGTTTAAGCCACCGGGTCCGGGACGCAACCCACAGTCGACTACATGGGAGTCCAGCGACATAGCCATTACACTAACTGCTGGTCCCGCTCCTAAAATTTTTTTAAAGAAGGAGATGACTATGTAATTCACTACATTGAAAATATTTAAAGAATGCTATCACTATTTTATATCTACATGGCAAATTATACAACATTTTGGATGTATTACAAGCAACTAAGCTTGTAATGAAAACCTTTAAATGTTGACATAAAGACATGAGGAAATAAAGATTTTAAAGTCTAAAAAAATTTGAAATACCGAGTGTAATCACTCATTAGAGGAAGCTAAAGGATAAGATAGCATATAAATAAAGAATGTGGTATCTACTACCACGTGGTAGTAGTGATCCTGGATAGGGAGGAGAGACTGGATGGGGAGGAGGGTTAAGGGATGGGGAAAAACTGGGTAAAAGATAAAAAGGCACAAGAGTGCAGCTAAACGAGCCGACTGGATTATGGAACAGTCTACCATGGTACAATAAAGAACATCAGTGATAATTAATATAGACCTCTATAAAAAGTCAACGCATATTTTGAATATGTACAATACAACATTTTTTAATGATTTATTTGATAAATATTTTTATGGTCAAAGTTTTTTTAATAATTTATTTGATAAATATTTTTATGGTCAAAGTAGTTCAATATTAATGTCAAATGTTAAGATGGTGGATATATTTATATTTGTGATTTGGTTATTACATACTGTATACATGCTTTCAAAAAACCATACTGGGACCAGCAGGTGACATGGTAGTTGAGGTGCTAGACTCCAAAGCATTCGATCACAGTTTGAGTATCAGACCTAGGAGGTGCTTTCTCACTTTGTCTCTCTCTCTCCCTCTCTCTCTCCCTCTCTCTCTCGCTCTCTCTCTCTCTTTGGTAGGCACATGTGTCTTATAGCAAAGTAAAAAACAGTAATAATAAATAAAATTAAATTTTTAAAAGAGAGACAATCTTTTTCCTCAAAAGATGCCCAATGATCATACATAAGTCCAAAGTTATACTTTTTTAATATTTTATTACTTTTATATTTTGCTCCAGAGTACATGTGATAATCAGAGAGAGTGAGAGAGAGAAAATGAGAAAGCCCCCAAAGGGAGCTGGCCACACCCTAATCCTTTCTCCTCCATTCTCCTCTTAGGATTTTGGGCACACGGCACAACTGGCCATGTGAGATCCAGCCACCATAACTACCACACCGCTGGCTGGCCCCAAAATATTCTTAATTTAAACACGATTTAGAAGTGCCCACCACAATTTATTTAGGCCTTGAATTATTAAACTGATTTCAATTTAAGCCTCTGGGTTTCTCAGCATTTTTTCTTTATTTCTGATCTTATTCTTACAAAATCAAAGATCCTAGGTTCTGACTAAAGGGCCTGGCAACATCTCCCTAAAAGTGAAGCTATTCGTTCATACTTGAATCAAATACTTGAAGCTTTATTTTAACGGACTTTTAAATTTTCCTTTACTGTATTGACCTCTAATCAATCTTACATGAAAGAATACATATTTTAATGTTTTAAAATGAAAATTGATCAGTTTTTGGTAACTGCTTCTTTGATTTGACTTCTGGTATTTTAGTGAATTAAGGACACAATGGCAAGATGTACTGCTCATGTAACAATTATATTTAATAAAAGCTCATTTAATATTAAAATTGCTAAATATTATCTTTGCTGTAAAATTAAGGGTAATATAATCACTTGAATTGCTGGAGCTTTGGGACTAGAATTAACAATGTGAATAATATTATGATAGTCCTCCAAAAATAGAGCTTAAAAGTGAATTTATAATATGCAATTAGAATATTTGAAGTTCTGAGGTTTTATCATGCTTTACTAAAAAACCAATTTCGATTCTGAGGTGGCTACTGAACTTGAGCTGTGAAATATTGCTTCCAGGGACTGAAAATGAAGATCTGCTGAGACTTCACTCTCTAGGTTCATTTCTAGAGTGGTAGGGCAACCTCTCTATCCTTCTCTCCATCTCTGTGTCTTTCTCTGTCTCTCTGTGCCTCCTTGTGTCTTTCATGTTTTTAAAAAGCAATTTTTTTGAAGTAAACTACTTTCTGGGCTCTCGAGCTCCTCCTTTATCTTGCCAATTCATGCCTGTTCACCTCTCATTTATGAGAGGCACAAACCCAGGTCTACCCTGAGAGGGCTACTGAACTTGAGCTGTGAAACATTGCTTTCACGTGGCACACAGGCACCACGCAGTATTCAGTTTTTGTTTTTAAAATTAAAATATAAAATGCTTTTATTGTTTTTCTCTTCTTTTTTCATTTTTGTTTTTTATTTCTTTTCTTCTTCTTCTTCTTCTTCTTCTTCTTCTTCTTCTTCTTCTTCTTCTTCTTCTTCTTCTTCTTCTTCTTCTCCTTCTCTTTTCTTTTCCTTTTTCTTTTAACTTCATCCCTTGGGCTGCTCAGCCTCCACACACTGAGCCTCTAGACAGGTCTAAGTGAACAGTACCAAACATCTGAATACTATTGGAGTCAGAATATTTTTCAATTCCCACTGAGTCTGATGCACAGAGTGAAAAATGGAACAGAAGATAGATTGCCGATCACCTCCTCCTGCATGCCTCTGAATGCTCAGATTGAACCTCAAAAATTAGGAAGAAACACAACCCATCAGATGACCAGAAATCCTTGCAGGGCCACATGAAATATGAGAAAGCAAGAAAATACCTCTCCTTCATGGGAAAATAATAACTCCTCTTCATCCACTGTCAGTACGATGGAATTAATGGAATTGTCAGATAAAGGATTTAGAATATTCATAGTGACAAAACTAACAGAGACTCAAGAGGAGAGGGAACTCCAGAATATGCAGAAAGAAAGAACCTATGATTTCCAGTAGGTGAGGAAGTTCTTGCATGATCTGAAAGAGGAAATACACACCATAAAAAAGAATCAAACAGAGCTGGTAGAGATGAAGGCTGTAATACAGGAAATCAAAACCTCCCTTGAAAGTGTTAAAAGCAGATCAGATCATACAGAAGATCGAATCTTGAGTGTAGGAGACAGAATCACTGACCTAGAAAAATACACCATGAAAATAGCCCAAAAAATGAAAATAATATAAAAGAAATACTAGATACCATGAAATGTCCAAACATCCAGATAATTGGTATCCCAAAATGTGAAGAGACTAATAAGGGCATTGATAATCTATTCTATGAAAACCTGGAAGAAAACTTGCCAAACCTAGAGAGGCATTCAAAAAC